ACTTCAGCGGTCTCCTCAGCCGGAGGAGAAGGAGGAGGGTCAGTGGGCTGAGGAGGAGCAGTGAACCCAGCACGACGAGCACGGTCACAGGCACGCACCAACATGGGAGCGTGCTGCAAGTGCTCGAGAAGCTCCCAGGTAGCCTCCTCATCAAGGTAACCCTTCCAACGTACGAGATACTCGACGTGGGGAGGGTTGTCGTCGGTGACTCGGCGACCAATGATGTCTGAAACGAGGAACTCCTCGTGGTCGTCCACCATGATGGGTGGAGGGCGCTCGTATGGTCGTCCAGCGAAACGCTCAGACGGTCTGCGGTAAGGACGCAGTAACGAGACGTGGTAGACATCATGCACACGAGCCTGGCGTACGTAGTCGGGCAGCTTCACACGAAAGCTGACCGGGCTAGATGCCGTATAAGAACCGACGACCTGGAGGATGCGGCATGGGCCAAAGAAGCGACGCCGAAACTTGCGAAGCGTGTCTGCTTCGAGTTGTAAGTGGCGGACGTCGATAAGCACATCATCACCGACCTTGAATGGGTGATCCATCCTCGATCGGTTCGCACGTGCTGCCATGCGAGTCTGGGAAGCGGCTATGTGCTCATGTGCGGTCTTCATAATCGACGTCATGTGTGCAACCCAATCATCCAGCGCGGGACAACTCGTGTTGGGGTGCATCTGGAACGGTCGAAGGAAGTCCGCGGGAACACGCGGGTGACAGCCGAGGTCGCAATAGTAAGGCGACATCCCCGTGGCTGGCGAGACGTCGTGGTTGTAGGCTATCTCCGCGTGGGCAAGATGGAGATCCCACTGCTGGTCGTCACGAACAATCTTTCGGAGAATATCCCCGAGCGTCCTGTTCGTGATCTCGGTCTGACCATCAGTCTGAGGATGGTAAGACGAGGCGAAGCGGAGCTGAGTGTCGTACACCTCGTGGAGCCGTCGCCAGAATCGGCTGGTAAAGCGCGGGTCACGGTCAGATATGATGCTCAGAGGTAAGCCGTGGTCACGCACGACTCGGTCAAATACGATGTCGGCGACCTCACGTGCACTGATGGCATAGCGGCACGGAACAAAGCGTGCACGCTTCGTGAAGCGGTCGACGACGACCAGGATAGCATCATGATCGCGGGGGGTCGGAGGTCGAAGAGGACCGATAAAGTCCATCGAGATGGACTGCCAACGATCCTCAGGGATAGGAAGAGGCTGTGGAGCAAACCATAAGGTAGGTGGTTCGCACTGTTCACCTCCTGACAGGTGGGACACTCTGCGACGTAGTCCTTCACAAAGTCCTTGCGCTTCGGCCAGACGTACAGGCGGCTCACACGAGCCAACGTCTTGTGGAAGCCCATATGACTGACAGTTGCCTGGTCATGGAACTCTGCTACTGCTCAGACACGTAGCTGTCCAGTGGAGGGAACGCAAATACGGGGCTCTCTGGTGCCCTGTGAACCGTGCCAGTACACAAGACCGTTGTCCTCGAGAGAGTAGTTCGGGACGGTCTTGCCACTTCGAAGGGTCGCGTGGATGTCGCGATAGTCGGGGCAGTGGCGGTACTGAGTGCGAAGCTCGTCGATCACCGAGTAGTGGACGGTGGTGACCGAGATGGAAGAGAGCTGGATGTGCTCCTGGTCGTGGTCAGGGCGCCGGGATAGGGCATCTGCGACCCGATTAAACTCACCCTTGATGTGCTCAGTGGTGAAACTAAACTCGGATAGGTCGCGCCACCAGCGAGCCTGTCGAGGAGTGAGCTTCGGCTTTGTCAGAAAAGCCTGGACAACAGAGTTGTCCGAACGCACCGTGAATGGTGCCCCGTGCAGGTAGTGACGCCAATGCCGAGCGGCATAAACTAATGTGAGAACCTGACGTTCATCAGCAGTGTAGTTTATCTCGGCGGGCA